CAACCGTTAAACAAAGAAATGATACTCTACTCCTGAAGCATGGACTGAAATGGGAAAAGATCGAACCGAGTGATTATTTCATCATGAGGATAACATTAATTTGGGTCGTATTATAATATTTTTCGTATTTTTTATGTCTGTTCGGTTTCCTTCATCAAACATCATTGACAGTAGTTACTGGTAATACCAGTTATACGCCATCAGAAAAAATATTCCCACGCTTTATTAATAGAGAAATAGTCACGGAATGAATCATAGACATTGCAATCCTGGAAAACACAACATCGAAGGAAGAGACTTATTGGAAACTCAAAGTATTCTCTAGATAATAATCATGTGTTTTTTGTGGCTTTTTGGTCTTCTTTCTCTCACTGGTAAGACCTCTATTTGACATAGATATTATTTTTAATTGCAACATCCTCAGACATCTGAAAAATCACTAAGAGATGTATAAATTTAGAATTTTTGAATATAGTAGCACCAGAACTCTCATAGATAATGGGGATCAAAATTAGAAAAATTTGTACGGATTTCTGAGATCTGGCCTATATGGCCTTGTTTTCGTGAATTCGTAAAGCCGGTTTAAACGGTACGATTTTCGCCTACAACTATCGTATACAACACGCTCGCGCCATCCTACAACTCGGGTCGTAGCTTGTGAATCAAGCCTACAACACGCCTACGACAGACGCGAGCGTGTTGTATACGATAGTTGTAGGCGAAAATCGTACCGTCTAAACCGGCCTTAAGGAATTTTTCATATCTTTTTCAATCGTCCACATTTTACTTTGATTAACCATTTCTTCGTATGAAAGAAGAAATTTCTAAGAATACTTAGATTTTAAAACTCTATACTAATGAGCTGCTGACAATACCACTATTGCAAATTTTCTCGCTTTCTGATTGGTCTAAAGTCGGGGAACAAGGAAGGAATACCGATAAATTACGTCATCCAACCACGCGCGCGCTTGATAACATGTTTTTCTGTAGAATCTCCCATTGTTTTTATAGTAAAATCGTTAATTTTCTGTAGTCAAACAAATTTTCCGTATATATTCACCTTATTGAAACAACTACTCACACAAATGAATGAATATTTTCTGCAAGCGAACAGCCTCTATCTAGTCTCTATAAAGCTAAAGTGCTTTTTGTAACAATCTTATTTCTACSTTAAAAGATTACTAGTACTTTATGATGAAAATATATATGTAATATTAATGAGATTTCTCTGAGCTCTTGTTTCATGTGGTTGGCCACGAATCATTTCATTGCAATAATATTTCTGTGACGATTCTTTTTTGTTATTCTATTTAAAGGTTTTTTGTCATTTATTGACTCTACACCTTTGCCCAGGCAGAGAGGTAAATGAGTATTGCTATATCTATTCTTATCAATTCAAGATATCTAGGTGGTTGAAAGTGATGTTTGATTGTGGTGATGATGGTGGTAATGATAATGACGATAATGGTTGATGATGATGACGTTGATGATATTGATCATAAAGATGGTTGATGATGATGACGTTGATGATATTGATCATAAAGATGGTTGATGATGA